TGACGGAGATACGCCATCTTGAATGTCGAAAAAATGATGAAGGAAACTTTCGCAAATCTTTGATGCTACATGTAATATTAATCGAACGAACTTCGGAATTTCGAAAAACCGCCAGTCAGAGCCCATATGGGATAGGTCCAAAGAATCCAAAAATGAAAAAACGAAGATGATCCGTTGAGAAATAACCGAGATTATTTTTTGTCCCATCCGTAAAACACTTCCTGTTTGTCAAAAATGACCCAATTTATATTTAGTAAATAGATCCACGGGGGCCAACAACATCTACGTTGACAGAATGTTTGCACCATGTACAGTTTTGGCTGCACAAACTGACTAAATCCCCCCCCCCCCCCAAAAAAAAAGAAATAAAAAATAAAAATAAATAAATAAAAAAGAAACACTTACAGAAAAAATACGTGTTTCGACCGACCCGTGTTCTGACAAAAGTAACATGTCCACTTCAATAAGACTCCAGCACCAACAGTAACACATTAGTTTGGACATGGAATTTTGAAGTTGACGCTGTTACTGTGTAATAAGTTTATAGTAAACTGCGTAATAGGTTTATAGTAAACTGAATAATCAATATATAAAACTGTATAAGTTTATAGTAATTAATTAAAACTGTAAATAGTGAATAAGTAAATATAAATTTATATCAAATATCTAAACATCTTATTATAAATTTATAGCGTTCCATGGACTATCTATAAACACTTTGTTCAAATATTATTCCAACAAAACGAAGACTGTGTTTTTGAAAGTGTACTTCGGAAAATTGAGAACCTTTTGATAAAATAGAGTAGAAGCAATATACCACTCGTATCAACAATAAAACACATCATGGCTTTTAATTTGAGTCTATTCGCTGTCGAAAAACCTCGATATAAGATAATCTTTCTCCAATATTTGTTTCTGTATTTTATACAATTTCTTTATAGCTATAAACATAGGGGTTGGGTTTCAAAACACGAATTTTTTATCGGGTCGAGCATGAAGCCCGATGCAGTTAGTCAGAAAATGATAAAACAATAAATGGAAGTCGTGTAAATAGAAGTAGTTTATTGTTACAGCATAAAGTCAACAAAATGGAGAATTTGAGGTCTTACATTGCTACTTGATTTACTGATCGTAAGACTGCTCTTTATCTCGACTCATTTAGTAGTTCTTTATACTAAACAATTGGATTTATCTAATCCGTTTATCGGGTCATTACAGTAGATTAACGTCTCATTAATGGTTAATCCGCGATAATATACCACTTGTAGATATGAATGTCTACTTGGTCCGTGTTGGTGAACGAATTAGAAATGTATACGAGACTGCTAGCATTTTAAATAAATAACTTAAAATAATTTGGGTCAAAAATAAAATTGTCGAATTCGTTGTTTTGTGGGGTGAAAATCGGTCTTCGTTCAAAATTTACGTCTACATTGCAGATAGAGCCAGTTTTGAGATATAACCTATTGTGTGTTTCACTGTCCACACAGTAAGCCAATAACAAATCTTTAGAGACTAAAATCAAATCGTATACAAATTCCCCACCACTAACTGAAATAATACATCAGATCAACCAAATTCAATAATTAATTTTCATCTAAAACAAAGATGTCTAGCATCTTTATAAATAATGGAAAGCGTACGGTCATTGATAAGCATATTTAAAGGCAAACACGCGTGCTAACAGTTGCAGTGTCTGGTATTACAAACTCAAGGCTGATATGATCTGTATGTAGAGTAGGTGTTGGGTGTCGTTGTCCAGGTATGCATGTTTTCTATGCCTTATTTCCAACGGCATAACAATGTATCGATATTATTATATCGATAATCGAATTCATTTATAATCGATATTATATGTAAATCAATACTACCACTACACTATCGATATCAAAAGTTCAAACTTGTGTGAAAGCAATTTTACTGCAGTTCATACTTCAAATCCATACTATACTACAACGATAGTAGTGCTACGACTATATGTACTACTCTTCCAAGTTCGATGATATGGCAGTCAAATCCCCCTCTTTAAATAAATTCACCTTATTTATTGACATTTAGACACGTTATAGACTTAACGTCAAATCATTTGATGAAATGTACAAGGGGTCTTTTATGATTGGAAGTTGAAGTGTTTGAGAAGCCAATGAGAACGTCGATTAATTTCTTAATGATATATAAACACGTTTAAATGTAATATAACCTCAGCGATCAAAGTAAACAAGAAATTGAAGTAAAACGAGTAGGTCTCAAGTGACACTAATATAACACAGGCCATAGAAAAACAGAACCTTGATAAAACATAATACCTCTAAAATATTTAAATTATGCGGAGTCCTTACACCAACTCTAAACTTATACAATATTATTTGTTTTTAATTTGAAAGATAAGACATGGGCTATAACATAAATAAAAAAGAATAATCTTAATTGATAATTGTTTATATTTAATTAGCCTATTATACCAGTTTTTGTTTATAATAATGAGTATACAAACAATAATTAATCTTTCTTTTTCAATTAAAATATGCGAATTATATTTTTTATGTAGTTATTTTATCGTTTAAGCAATGTAAGAGACGTATACAGAACATCTGCCAATTCAATAATTAAACTTTCATTATTTCTACTAAATAGCAAAATGCAAAATAAAAACATAACATGTAGTAGTAAACGTTATAGTAAATTACATTTTAATCGTTATTTCACAAAAAGTTAGCAGAAAAGTATTTGCAGGTACTTAATTTAGACATATAATGACCCTCTTAAAATAGCAATTTTTTCATCTAATGGATGTTGTACTTTAACTTAAATGACTCAGTTTTTCTGAAATCAAAATTTGAGTAAGTTGGGTGGCATACAAGTCAAATATTTGTTATTTCCTATTCTACTAACACTTGAATTAAGATTGATTTACTAATAATTAAAAGATTATCAATAAATTTTGTACAAATTTGCATTATAATTTAGAAATGGTTCATGTAAATATTCTTCGAAATTTATTTTGTTAGTATAAACATGTTAAAGAAGTCATTATTATATCTAAAGTAGGAAAAATATCAGCACAAGAACCATCAAACCAAATTTCAATACACCCTTTTCTCTCCAAATGTTATCAAAGTGCTAAAAATATGAATTCTACAGAAAAAAAGCCTAGACGATATTTTATTCTGAGACGTAATGGAAACTATCATGATGAACCCGGTTGACATGAATGCGAGTGTACTAATTTTTTTTATCAGAAACTCTGGAACTTTGGACACAAGGTGAAAATAATGAAAACATTTCAAAGTGTCAGTGGTGTTATAATGGGTAAACGTTGATTTTATCGCCATTATAATGTAAACTATATATGTGGGATAAGTGAGAAATGATTTGGCATGTTTTAAGTTTAACAGTGCAGGTATATATTATAAAGTGAGAAAAGAAAGACCATGTATGTTAAAAGAATTGAACAGGGCATGTAAGAACTCTGCATTACCATGATGGCATACAATATGAACTCACTACCCCCTCTTAAACCGACAGTCGGGATATGTAACACCAATGGGTAGGTATATATATGATTTTGTAAGTTAATCTTTTTAGGTCATTCATGCAATTACAGGAGTATATAAGGTTTCCACTTATTTTGGCATTATCGTTATTATTGTTATCATGGATTTGTATACATATATACCCAATTCCAAACATTTCATTACATGGTCAATCGGTTGTGTCTAGAAAATCTGACTATTTCAAGCTATGTACTTCTATTATAATAATATTTTATTCGACTTATTATACATTCGGCTGAAAAGCTGTTGAAAATGTTTGACAGGTAACTTTTGTTCTACATCAAAAACACAATACAATTTCGACCTAGACTGTTTCCTTAAAGCCAAACATAGTCTTAAACTCATATACGAATTTAGGAAAGAAACAGAAGAGAATATCTCATGCGATGACTTAAAGAATGCTCAGTATTTTTAGACTGTGGTTTTTGAATATAATATAAGAGAATACATGCTGATTATTCTTATTTTGATAACCCACATGTACATGCATACACAAATATTTGTTGAATTATTCCCGCATGTTTGTTTATAAACTGGTATATGCCACCCCGTGTTGTATGCTGTATCTACTATTGTATCTATCTATAACTTCAGACAAATTCACATAAAACATGACCAAGTAATACTTTTAACAAAAATGCTTCTTTTTAATCGATTTTGACAATAGTTCTTTTTCCCCAGTTTTTATTCCCCAACCATGTATTTAAAAGAAAGGTCTTCAGTGTTCTTGCATGATATCAATTCCGATATTCAGAAATGTTGATCAGTCTATTTAGCTATATAAATAGAGATGAGGGCATGGGTGGCTTACTTTTGAATTCGAATCTAACAATTTAATACCATGGGGTTGAAATCTTTGTTAACAAAGCTCGTGGACGGACAAGAGAGCTTTACAACTCGAGAGTGAAAAATGGCTTCTTAATTCGGGGTTTGTATTATTAACGCTCAAATAAGAGATGGGGCGCCCTGAAAACTCGGTTAAAATATGTTTCCGACAAAGATGTTCACAATGTAGCTGTTACTAAACATGGATGTAAAAATAAATACATGTGCGAATGTATGGGGTTGCTTTCCATAGAGTTATTTAAGTGGGAATATATAACGTACACGTATCAGTCTAGCTGCTAAATTTGATCGTAATTGTAGACTCCCTGTGTGAAACAAACTGCCAACATTTATATATGTACATTGTATAAAATATATCATATAGGTAAAGACAGAGAGAAAATACGCGAATATCGAAACTATATGCAAGTTTTATGTCGATCGCGGATAATTCTAGTTTATACTGTTGCATAATTTCAAGTATTATAGCAGATTCATAATATTGACCCGCTTACTACATGGAATTTAAAAAGCGTGTTTATGAATAGTCGTGGGTATTTTAAAAGCAATAAACAGCGGCACGCACTAACACAAAATAGAAAAATATTTAAAATGTCTTACCACCACATATCCAGAGTAGAAACTAAAAGAGTTTGAAGCGCGATGAGAAGTATGACACTCCATCGCCTTGCTAGTTCAGCCATGTTATCATATCACTTCGTTTCGGACAAATCTATAATAAAAAATAACACAATATTCACATGATAAGTCGATGAGGAACACATTCTATTCACCGATCACATTAACATCCATTTTTAATCCTCACATAAAGCTCCATTCGGCCTTCATTACATCTTGACACCACTTTTCTTCACGAAAAAAACTTTTGCCGTGTATCACACTTTGATTTAAGCCAACCCCTTTTATCGTATGTCTGTATATTTATGCACGACTCTTTTTCATGGAGCAGACGATAACGTACACCGCTACAGCCAACAACTCTTTCGCTGATTGATCACTTCATGTGGCTGCCTGTCATTCACACAGTAGCAGACACATATATCCTTGATTCTGATTGGCCACTATTGCTGTGATTACCAATGATTAAAAATTTCATTCGGGTTACCCCCTGTTTTATAGTATTTTGGAACGTGTTTAATGTTGAGGCCATATTCTATTTTGTTTGCGGAAGGTTAAATATAAGCATTGCCAGTCTGCAGTTAAAGGCACCTAAGAAGAGAGGAGATCTTAAGTGGTTGCCGGGAGACGGACTCTTTTCTTAGATTTTGATGATTTTCAGATTTTCGACGTCTCGTGTGAGTCGAATTACCTGCATCTATTCTAGTGTTGATTAATAAGAAATCCCACCTGTTCTTTAAAGATATACTGACATGTTTTAAGATCAAGAACACTGCCTAGTTTTTCGCATTTGTGTATATTTTACAGCGCCCTTACTTCAAAACATTTGAAATACAATTAACTTTTGTCAGTGAGTAAGACACCCACTCGCTGATTTGCAGGTCTCGGGCTCGATCCCGATGTTAACCGAGAAAGTTCATCGCGATTTTCCGGTGTGGTTTCCCCTTGTCAGTGGCGCAGGGCGGGGGGGGGGGGGACTTGACAAGGAACAACGTCTAGTCGTTCGGATAGTAAAAAACACGAGGTCCCGTGTAGACATTCTCGTAAAAGAACCCTTCCCAGTTGGAATTCGAAATAAAAGTAAACCGTAGCTCCGTTGTCCAGGCAAAAATTTCCCATATAGCGTACTGCATGTCCGTCTTCATTAGCCCAATCGGAACAGAAAAGTTGGACGTTAAACCCCATTTCATTTCATTTGTCTAAAACTAAGATGGAAACTTCACAAAAATGCCCAAGGTCTACTACAGACGTCTCAATCAAACGTGAAGTGGTATCACATGTTTTAGAATGAACGACATCCGCAAATACCTGTCAATCTATGCTGACTTGTAAGCTTAAAATAATACCAGTCTATGGCGCTAGTTCAATAATCGGACGTTCCCGGGTTCGATCCCGGCGTTGATCGAGAATGTTCCTCGAGGATTTTTCCAGTCTGGTATTCCCCATTTCAGCGGCGCAGGGCGGAGGGCCTGATAAGGAAAATGCGTCTAGTCGTTCGGATAAAACTAAAACCCAAGATCCACTAATTAATCGTCGGCGTGCACGTAAATGAACCCATGATAGTTGGAATTCGATGCTGTATTAAGGATTAAACAAACAAAAAAACCAAACAAACAAACAAAAACCCCCCCCAAAAAAAACAAAAAAAAACGCTGTCATTTTGGAGAGAGAGAGAGAGAAATGGGGTTTAACGTCCACTCGACACAACTAGGTCATTTCGGGACTAACATATGGTTTAATTTTATTTCAATAATTCGCTTGCGCGTAGAGGTCTTTAGCAGTGGGAGGAAACCGGAGTGCCCGGAGGAAACCCACGAGGTTGAGAAGGCGCCCCTATCTCCATGCCACATACGCTCACACCAGGGCTCGAAACCACAGCCGCAAGCCAGAGGTGACCGGCCAGCCAGAGGTCGAAGCGCGGCACTCTAGACCACTAGGCCATCCCAACCCCCCTGTCATTTTGGAAGGAAGAAACTGAGATTCATAAATGATGTCTCTAAAAATGAGGTTTAACGTCCTACTTTTCAACACCGAGACTGGGCTAATATAGACGGGTTATATAATTCCAACCGTCAAGGGTTCTTTTAAGTGTACACCAACTCGTATCAGGGACCTCGGTTTTTCGTCCCAACCGAACGACTGGACGCTGCCCTTGCCAGGCTCTCTGTCCCACACTATTGACAATGGGAAACTATGCTGGGGAATCCCTTGAAACTTTCTTAGCCTACAAGGGGATAGAAACCCGGTGCCTAACACACGGACCCCCCTCCCCCACACACACCAGCCCCTCCCTAAACTTTACAGGTTTGTTGGTCATTATAATACGAGACGTATAACACAAAGGAGATGTATCATAGAAAAGGGGCCCAAACAACGTGCTGGATTCCTGGAAGTACCATCGTCCCATTTCTTTTAAAACTTACTGTAGATTTAACATTCTACCAAATTCAACGAAAGAAAAACAATATGTTCTGTATTAATTTATATGAAAGGCGCCATGAATAACACATGTTTTGTCCCTGGGAAAAAAAGGAGATAAATTGTGATAGCTTGCACAGAATCTCAATATGAAATTCCTCAAGATTTGAACCCAGACGAACAGAAGTGGTTCATAAATTGTTAGTAAATCATGAAGCATCGCGTTATTTTAAAATCAATTTATACTCCTTGGTAAAAACGATACAAGAGATATAAGCACATAGAGTAGAAACCATAACATTCATTAAAGAGCAATAACCGGTCCCATAAACTGTGGGTTATCTAAACAGTATAAAGGAATATTGCAACAGCCAGCACAAACTTAACAACATAATATTAACAATGTCTATTTTACTTCAGGTACGCTGTTTCTTAATCACTTTGTACTCCATACTCGTATTAAACAAATGACAATCGTCGAAATTTTGGTAATATTTAAAATTCAAGAATGTAAATCTTCTAAACGAGAACTCATTTTATTGGAGTATCGAGGAGCTCCATGACTCCTATATCTAGTGAACATCCAACGTCTAGGCTTCTGGGTCCCACGATATCGTAAATATAACAGTTTACTTTACATACGTGGCTTTATGTATAGGTACACATTCTGGACCAAGAACTGGGCCACAAGCGCCACCCATCTTCTTAGTGTTGCACCTATTCTGCTTGTGGGCGACACTCTTTGTATACCAGAACGATCGACATTAAACTTGGCATGCTTGTGTCCTGGGCAATTGCGCATTGATTGACATATATAACGTCACAATTCCATGATGACGGCGATGCCGTCATGTTTCGTTCCTGGTCCATATAGTTCTATTGTAACTGCTGAAACTGATCCTTGAACAATTCTGCCAAAGTTTTAATAAAACTATAACTAAGAAATTTTAAAGCTCCCATCAAATATCAATTTACTTGATGCGTTTCAATTTGAGATATAAGTTAAAAATTATAAATGACTGAAATGAAGGTAGCGCACGACATTAAAAAAAAAAGAACAGATTTAAACCTCTTAGACCATTAAAGTAACGCAGGATATTGAGGACTAATTTCGTCTACCGTATGAGTCTAGATTGGCCAACAATAATCTTTCAATAAAAGCCTGCTTAATATTATCGTTCATAATTTCTCGACCAAAATAGAACCGTTTACACTACATGTAATTGGAAGTATTTGATAAGACACAGAGCAACTAATATTCACAGATTGCGCTGAGGGTAATATTATAGTTGAAAGACTTTAATACAATTGATAACACGCTTATAAGCCCAATCATCAACCAATTAGATGTCTTATTTAACAAAAACGAAATTGTTTTGAAGGAATTAGATCTGAAATCAAAACTTTAAGTGAAGGGGAATTCCACTTTTTCTCGAAAAACTGGTGCCAAGCATATTAAGTTCTACAAGTAGACTAAATAACAGGAACCTTGTCTTTGGAATGAAAGAAAATGGTTGCTGATGAATAACAGGTATTGTTGTATTGTCACCTGTTCCTGAAACGTTTAAATTAAAAAAAAATAAGCATCTGTTGTATTATTTCTCACAAAGAGTTAACTCAGCCCGAGGAGGTTACTGCTAGCCTTCGTTTTGCGGGTTCTGGGTCTATTTGACTTGTCTGTCTGACTTTGGGCTGGTGGTGGTGGTGGTGTGTGTGTGTACGTGGCAAGTAGTAGGGTCGCCTGTCCAACCTCGTGGGCTTTCGCGGGGTCATCGGGTTTCCCCCCACTGCTAAAAGGCCTCTACGCGCAAACGAAATATTGAACCACATGTTAGTACCGAAATGACTTAGTGCACGTTACCCCCCCCCCCCACACACACACACACACAGCCCTCTCTTTCTCTCTCTCTGACTTGCTCTTCATTAATTCGTGACAATATGGGAAATCAGGAAATACTCTCGTGGTCCTTGATGAAAATAGGGACTTGTACTCAGTGCAAAGTATCAAATATAAATTCTGTAAGGAATGTTCTGTTTGCTGGAAACTAAGCTCAACTTGTCATAGAATCTATCTAAATTTTTATTCGATTTCGTTGAATTCATTAATTGTACATTTTGTGGACATGGTGGCGGTAATAGTACCGGATGTTTTAAAAATCATCAGTTGTATTTCGTGGACATGCTAGCACAGTGTATACCTGGTATATTCTTTAACTTAACATTTCGCTCTTATCTAAAACTATTTGGTGGTTTTTTTAGAATACTAGAATGTTATAAAGGAAATGTTGTGCTGACATTCGGTTGAATACTACAAACTAACCATTAAGCCACATTCATCTATTACAAGTGTAGCTCATTTGATATATAAACAGTAAAGGTAATGTTTGTTTGTAGGATGCAAACACTGGTGTATACCTGTATCTACTGAAGCAATTACATTAGAAAAATGTTAAATGACTGTTAACTGTAAACATTTTTTACGCGACGGTTAATGTATATAGTAATGTTACCCATTAAGGGTTGACGTTCTATTAACCTAAATTAAAACACGCTGTATCATCTCGAAACTAAATTAACCTATCGTATATTTTATTCCAATAATTCAATAGCAGTGTGTTGAGTTGCGAGGGGATGTCCCATGGAAACCCCAACAGGTTAAACAGCACCCCCCCCCCCCCCACACCTCCCACCTTTGTCAGTCGGAATCGCATTTACGACACCAGTATTGGTGGTATTATGATCAATAAATATAGCACATTCATTTAATTTTTGAATATCAAAGGTACCTATTTCATTTAGCAGTGCCACTCAAAATATCTCTAACTATATAGATTTAGGCATAAAATACTTACAATACAACTACAAGTATTATTGTATTAAGGGTGTAGACGATATGAGATTAAGAGATTAGATCTACTAATTACCTATGTATATATTATACTCTACGTATTACCTATGTGTTAT